TGTCTTGAGACACAATTGGGTCATTTCCACGATGCGTGAACTATCTACATCCAGCGCCTTTTTATGATCTTCTCATCATTTTGAGGCTGTTTTCTTCTCTGTCACAGTAGGCTGTTACTCATGGTATCTAATCAACCAATCATCATTATCTTGTGTAGACAACTGTTAATAAACACCTATATCGTTTGGATGGTGACCGTAATTATCCGAGTTTCTACTCCATACAGTAGAACAGTTTTGACGTTCGTATTGGAAATTGTGACTTTGGTGTTGGTTGACAATTGTTTTGAGTTGTAGATGTTGTTCAATTTTAGTAATACTGTGCCCTTGCTTTGTTAACCTGTCTTTAGATTTGCGTCTGATCTTCCTTGTTTATCAAAAATGGTGCCCACGTATGCAAATGTTTCTATATTCTCCAGACCTTCTCCGTCAGGAGTGACTCGGTTGGCGTATGTTGTGTTGTACTTCATACTTTACAGTATCATTCTATCTTTGACAGTAAATGCTTTGTCGTACTGAATGAAGTTAATTTAGAGAGATGAGTTCCATTCAATCGATTGTTCAGCGATGATTCATAGTGTACGATTTGGAAAGTAAACGACATATCCTTAAGGAATCCAGTCTACTGATCTCCAAGTTGGGGATCTACTGAATCTTTCATTCAGTTCAACTTTTTTCCTTGTTTTGATATAAGAGGGATGCCTCTGTATTTCTCACACTTGTTGAGATCTACTTTATGATATCTCGATGAGACGTCCTTCTTCCCAGCCTATCGGTACTTGATCTTCCCAAATGTACAGCATCTTTTCAGTTTTTTCCGTAACTGACTTCAGTGCCTTAACCTTTTTCGTCTAGTCCTGCTGCTTTGCTACTCTTGATTTGTCTAATGACCGTGTTGTTTTCTATTATTGGAGGGTTAACATCTATAAAAAGGTCAATATGTACTGCTTCGATGACTGGTGAGTTCAATGTGGTAGGTCTATCGAGGAGTTCTTCAAAATGCTCTATCCACCTGCTTCGCTGTTTTTGTGTCTCAATGATTGATTTGTCTTTGTTATCAACTGATTGTTCTGGGTTGCTGTGTTTCTCTGACAACTTCTTCGTTGCATCATATTTCCTTCTCTTGTAGCATTTTCTGCTATCATCGCCAGATCGGCCATATATTTCCGTATATCAGGTCCGATGCTCCTTACTCTTGCTTGTTTGATTCTATGTATTCAGCTTGTGCCTTGTCTTTCCTAGCTCTTGTTCAGCTGATATTGATTGATGCCATCCTAATCCTCCATGCTTGAATTCCATACGAAGAATCAACAGAAATCCATTCTGTATGACGATATTCCTGCTCACCCAGCACCTCCTGACACGTTAAAGTTACTGCTTCTTGAATCCCTTTCTAGTTTTTCTCCGTAGTGTTTTCCCCTTAGAGTAGATCTTGTGAAACTTGGAACTCATTATTGCAAGCTGTATTGATTTTGCTGAGTCCGTCAATATCAAGAAGGAAGGCTGTAATAAATTCTTGAAGTGTTGCTTCTCCAGTTGGCCAATGTTTGTTTAGGTGGTGATCTGAAGGGAAATCAGGTCTTTGCTTCGTTCTTACGTTCTTTATGGTCTTTTTAAGCATTTTATTGATGCAAATATAATCGATCTGGTTCTCTTTAGTTTCGTCCAGTGAAACCCCTGTGTCTTTGTGTATGCGTTTGTGGGTGAATATGGTGGTATGTATAACCACCTTTTTGGAGGCGCATAGATTTGCGAATCTCTCACCACTCTCGTTCCTTTCCCATAATCCATGTCGCCCCATGATGTCTTCAAATTCAACGTAGTCAATTCCAACCTTGGCACTTAGATCATCTATGAGGATGGTCAGGTTTGCTTTCCTTGGTTGCCTCTTGAAAATTGACTGTAGCCTCTCATGAAACTGATCTTTATCGTTTCCAGTGCTGTCACTAGTGAGCGCGTGGAATTGGATCAAATTCATTGTTTTCCCCTTCTTCTTTAGTTTGAAGGACGCTTTGATGATTCTATGTTCATGAGACTCCTATCTTATGAGTATCGTTCACGGTCAATCTAACTGCTACAATTGGACCTCAATCCTTAAAAATCTCAGGGGTTAACCCATCAGGATCTGCAGCTCTCATTCCCTTGAGATTGGATTCAGTTCAGTATACAGTCGGAGAATTCACATCAACCCACAAATTCGTTCCTAATGAAGACCGCAGTCAGTTGAGGTTGTTTACTCTCACCATTTCTATTTCTCCGGATAGTCGACTGGATTATGACGTCAACGTCTCATACGAGTACGGAATACAACGGACAGCTTGGATACAGCTGGAAGATCTCGACTTCATAGATGATCTAACCCTTACATTACTCACAAAAATAAATTCAGAAGAAGGAGGCGAATGTAGTAGCAATAGATCTAAACATACACAAAGGGAGAAGGCACATCCTTCGATACAACGTAATATACAGCAACCAAGTCACACCTGACGGATAAACTCTGGAAAATGTAGAAACCTTTACATATGTGGGCACCATTGTTAATCAACAAGGAGAATCGGATGCAGATCCAGAGACATAAGTTAACAAAGCAAGGGCAGCATTTCTACAATTGATGAACATCTACAACTCAAAACAATTGCCAACGAACACCAAAGTCACAATTTCCAATACGAACTTCAAAACTGTTCTGCTGTATGGAGCGGAAACTCGGATAACTACGAAAGTCACCATTTATTGACAGCTGTCTACACAAGATACTGATGATCCGTCGATCAGACACCATGAGCAACAACCTAATGTGGCAGAGAACAAACCAGCTTCAAAATGAAGAGAAAGTCATACAAAGGGGCTGGTCAGTCTGTTGCAACGCAGAACTTCAGACGTCAGTACATCAGTTCAAGTTGTGGTACCACATTAGGGCAGAAATGTAACTGTCAATTCAAAACCCATAATGGTAGTAGATATATAAGCAATAATCGGAAAGATTAGGATTTGAAGCTATTATTTAAGAAGGAAAAACGTGGTGGATGTGGACAGGACACACAGAAAAGCCCCTAACTACGTCACAAGATGAGCCCTAGCTTGAAACTCTCAATACAAAAGGGAAAGAGGCAATTCAACGAAAACAATATGCCGAGAATTGGAGATATATATGAAAAGAATGAATAACATTTGGACAGAACTGGAAAAAAGGACCGGGACAGATTAGGTTGGAGAATGCTGCTCGGCGCACTATGCTCCACTAGGGGTAGCGGCGTAAGCGATTTCGATTGTTGGATTAGTTGTCAGAAGGAATTTGACTGTGAATTTCGAAGGATCTCAGCTTTCACGATGAGGAGCCTGTAACTCCTGTAAATGGAGACTTTTCCAACTTTCGGAGTGGAGTTGAAATTGTTTTTCCTGGTTAGCGTTTGTCTAGGTGTTTCACTGCAGGCTGAGGTTGCTAATCCAATACCTAACCGTCTTTTTTTATCCAAGTTTTTTAATTACCTAATAATTCTTTCGAAGGCTGATGAGCTCAAAATGTATGAGGGAAGTATTATTATCTGGTTGGTTACAGTTGAATTTCGCAGCAACTTACAATAAATATTTGAAAGCAATACTGTAGTAGGCAATTAGACTATGAAAACTATTTCTGTAAACTGATGGATAATTTCATGTTGCATAAAACCGGCCCAAACTGAAATAAGCTGAAACAGATACCTTATGCTTCCTGGTCGTATACAGTAGTCTGATCAACAGAGACATTAAGGAATCAAACACTCACGGTTTAAATGACTGATCAAGTCAAGTATTCATCACACATTTACAAGTAATATTCAATTAAACTGACGAGACAAACACTTCCATTTTTTTATCAGACAGTAAATCAATTAGGGTAAAACTCGAAATTTATTTTAATTTTATTAATTATCACTGAATTGCAGATTATTTCATTTTATATTTATATGCTTTTTTGATTCATGTGATTTACAAATTTAGTCAATTGAAATTATAAATTGAGTTTAACAACCTCAAACTTACAACCATTAAATTATGCAGTTAAAAATAACACCTAATTGCACAATTACATTAACCAGTTTTTATTTTAAAGATGATTTACGTAAATTACAATCGAAATGTACTCAAATTTGCAATTTATGCGTACTGAGCTATCGATTTTTAGACTTGTTAATTTTGAGTGAAATTTTTTTGAACTCACAATGACGCAACTTTTTCAGTATATGTTGAATTACTCAGTATCAAATGATCAACGATCACTAGTTCAAATTCATTTGGTCATTTGTTAGTGCAGTTAGCGTGAATTTTGTTACAATTTTAACTCTTAAACAATAACACAATAATAAAACTTTCTTAAAATGAATAAATGTTCCCTTCAGCTTGAGGATACAACTTAGTGTTAGTAAATACGAAGCATAGATTTAAACCTTCTTATGATTTTTGACCTAGTTCAAATGAAGTCTCCAGGTGGATGTGTTGAATCTCAAAACAACGTCTTACTCAATATAAAAGACTTCACTGAAAATAACGATCATGATTGAGTGAATGACCTGAAAGTGGAAATATCTGTGGAGATATGTTTCACAGTAAAGAAGTATACACTATAAGAAATATAAAAACACTAATTTTTGACATAACATTTATTTCGTGTAGTAAATTATTGTGAGCAAAACTAGGTTGGATATACAAATAATTTGTAATCAACAATAATAATCTTACATTTTATAGTTAAAGGTTCAAAAAAAAATAACTAATAATTGTTCATTTGACTTCTAGCAGTATGAAAACTGGGACTTTCCTCTTTTGTGGTACCAAAACATCACCAAAGACTCAGTGTTCCGTGATGGAACAAAATTTCCGAGAAATTGGATCATACAAAGGTACTCTTAGAAGAAAGTAAGGAGAAACGGATATTTATATAACCCCACTAATGCCCAATACAGTTTCCTTCTTTCTAATTAGAAGGAATAGATTGGAGCTTCAGTGGGGAATTAACCTCAGCAACCGGTCACCGCTGCAGACGCACCAGACTTTTTAGTCACGTGCAACGTTGTAAATGTCTGAAAAAGATATATATATATGAGGGGTTAAGCTTAAAATAAAACATCCTAAACAGAAGAAAAGGAAATATATTTTTTAGCGGCATGAAACTCTTTTGAATAATTTAGAAGAATTCAATCGTAAGCCTTATTTTGAAAATAATCCAAAGTTAACCATAAAATATAATTAATATTAACATACCTCAGAACAAGTTGGGTGAATTCCGATGGTGCGATCGAAATCTTCTTTAGTTGCACCCATTTTAATTGCAACTGCGTATCCCTGAGTTATTTCTCCTGCATTAGGACCCAAAACATGCAGACCCAGTACACGCATGTGCTATAAACGAAAAAGAGGAAAGTGGTGAACTACTAAAAATACTGGTTATCTTTTGAAGTTCAGATTTTACTTTTGCCCTGCATTTCATTATCAAATGATGGTCTAAAATCATGAAATAAACTAAAATGTTCAGATATAGTAAGAGTAACAGATGTTTGGAAAGAATCAAAACTGATATGGAACATTCAACACCAAAGTGTTTATAATAAGAATGATAGAATATGATTAGCGCGTATACATTGGTGTAAATATATTCAAGTGAAATTTAAAATAGAAAAACTTAATAATCGCTAACATGAACTTATCAATGCCAAAACGTTAAACTGAAGTTTTCAACGTGGTCAACTCAAAGAGAGACATGTGATAATAATGTGGAATTTACCAAAGCGTTTTGACGAAACAATATCATTATTATACAGATGATTACAAGTATTGCTTTCACAAAGTGGGAATAAGCTAGCTTACTGTCAAAATGACACTTTCAACAAATTTATTTGAAACAGACCCTTACTATCAGTCTACTAGTGCAAAAAAATGCATTATAAACCAAGTGAAAACAAAAAAAGTGGGACAGTTCTGTAGCATAGTAAACCTGGGAAAAAAAATTTTATGTGGTCAAAAGTCACTTGATACATGCATGAACTTACATCAGATTTACGACAAACAAGTTTCATGTAACAAACATTATCTTCACGATGAGCGACAGTCCATTCTAAAGGTTTGAAATATGAATGATATACCTAGATAGGTAGAAATGATGAACAGTAACATCGAATAACATTAGTTACATTTCATAAATGAAATTTATTGTAAAACTTGGAATATTCGAAAAAAAAGCTATTTATAGAAATAATTATTTTAAATATTCCCATTTAGATTATTATAAATACAACTTGAATCGGCATTATTTTTGTACTTAAAAAAAACTAAGGTTTCGGTAACAAATATAATAGTTTGCGTGCAGTAATTTAGTTAGCAATTTAGTTACAGTAATCATGATACCGATAAAGTACATTAGCTTAATAATTTAATACGTCCACTATTTAATTCATACATGAATTGTTGAATGTTAATGCGTAGACATTTACTGCAATACTCTTCTTATAGCTAAAAGATTTATTCTCATATAGTTGTCATTTGTCCCAATATTATCAATATCATCAATATCACATTTAAAATAAAACTAAGTACAGAGAATCTTTTTTTAATTTAGTTTGCTTTAAAATAACTTAATTTTAAGCAATATATTAGTTATACTTTAAGGAATATTGGTTGAAAAAATGTGTACGTTTATGAATTCAAACAACAAAATAAAAACAGATCAACGAGGGGGACACAATCAAAGCAATGATGCAGTCAACAATAATAATCACCAATTAAGATCGAGGTCAACAAGACAATTCATGGAGAAATTTGCATACTTTACTTCTTCTACCTGGAAGTTGGTGCTGTTGATGATGTTGTATTCAGAGGAACAATGAAAGCTCCTTAACCGAAATATTCAACTCAGAGAACAAAACTTATTTAAAACTAAAAATTATGATGGTTAAAAGAGAAAACATGTTGACTAAGTATGATTGGTTAATTTAGCTTAATGTTGTATGTTGTTGATGATAGGAACATCATTAAAAGTTTAGTTTAGCATGTCAACATTTTGGATTTTGATAAAATTTCTATACTATAATTGATAGGTGAACTTTTCATTATGAACCAGGAAAAAAACCACAAAAAATGAAGTTTGCTGACATGCCTCAATATCTTGATCACCATACTTTTCAATTGCATCTTCTTCACTCAATCCACAAGCTCCATATTCAAGTGGAGTGAAAACAGTGGTAGCAACATTGGAATAGTCAGTCTAAATGAAAGAAAAAAAAGTACAAACAGAAATAACGAAAAATTTATAGATGTGAAAAACCACATAGTCTAGTGTTGACTAAATTGAAACTAAATAGTTTTAGTAGTAATAAAACATTGTAAATTCATGTAATTATGAAAGATAGAGATGACTATGGAAATGAACATAGTTTTAGCAATGATTAATTTAATTATAGACTAATTATCAGTTTCGGTATAGTTGAATTTTACACGAAAAGTTGAACATATCACAGGATTTTTTGTCGTTATTTTATTTTATGTAAAGCTTAATTATCAAAAAGTAAAAAAAGATCATGAATCAGCTCATTTGTGAGCATAATTCTAAATTTTTTAATATGGTCAGTGTTTATGCCGATGAACTATTCCATTAATGGAAAATTGTGCGTCTAATCATAGCCTAATTAAACACATCAACTAGATTGAGTACATATGACTAAATCAAGACAGAGATAAATACGAAGAGCTGAGTGGCATTTCTCAACAATGTTAAGAGTAACGACAATTCCTATTTAGACATTCAGTAGAAAAAACGAATAAATAGAAATTCCTTTCCGATTAATTTTTCTTATCGTTGCTTAACATCAAGTATATGTATAATGATAAAATAATACTATTTGAATAAGGATGTAACAGTCAGTCAGTCAGTCAATCAGTTACAACGTAGAACTTCGTACATGAGTACATAAGTTCAGGTTGCCATACCGCATCAGCATAGAGACGCAACTATCAGTTCAAATCCCATAGTGGTACACATAGTAGAAGTATTCGCAGTAATGGAGAAGACTAGGGTTCGAAGATATGATTCGAGAAGTACAGTTCAGTGATATAATTTTAGAAACAGAAAGGACGCAACATAATTATGTAACTCAAGTGACTATCAAAACAACATCGAACGACTCAGGAAGTAATTAAACGAAAAATGATTACGACAGTCGCAGTAGTGATCGGAAACATATGATTGAACAGATGCTAGCTTATAGAATACTATTGCATCTCAACTGAGTGCAATTTTCAATGATCTTTTGATGACAAAAACCACCAATAAACATGAATTGCCTGAACTCATCATATCCATGTATGTTTATCAATTCAACTGCTTTTCTGAACCAAATTATAAAGAGTTTCGCCATTCAATAAGTCTGTCATTCTATAACAGAAGAAGAGCTGGTGGTGATTAAGAGTTTTATTCTCGTTGGCTTGGTGAATACAGGACATTAAGTTGAATAAAGCTATTGAAGATATCTACCATAGCCAATTAAATACGCCACATGGTTTACGAGTTCGTCTTTTGCGTAATACTGAACCGATTGAAATCTATATTCGTAAACCTAATCTTTGTTTTCGAAATAAGTTTGTACAAGCTTTCTTTCTACCTTAGTCAACGATATGGAAGTGGGTTTTAGTAGAAATTTGGCTAATCACATTCTTTTAAAAAACTTTCAGTTTTATAATTTTTTGTAGTTCACGTTCTTACATAATTCAATATCCGTTGGTAGATACAAGCGTAAAATTGATTTCTTATCAAATATAAATATTTTAAGATCAAGCAACTGTTTAGCTGCATGTTTTCAATTTTTACCGATAATTACCTCATTAACTATAATTTTTTTCAAGGTATTTAGTTATTCGTTCAGTATTATTTTGATCATCATCTGATTAATTCGTTAAATAATTACTCGATTAGTTCTATTTTATTATTGTAAAGCACATCATAATGCAGTATATCACGACAAAAAACTAATTGAAAATAAATTTAGGATGGAATTAGCTAAAACTTATGTTAGTAGTTTGTCTGTTCTATTACTTATTACTCAAGCAACATTGTAAGTCCGCCAACACAACTAGCAATTAATCACTAACATGCAATGACTGGGAACAACACAGATCTAAACATTCATATTAGAACAGTTTATAAGGAAAATGAAATAAATACATTAAATATAGTAGGCAGAGTGAAAAATAATGTTTGAAGTCAGCAACAAATATACTCCCAGAGATAAATATCAGTCAGTCGGCCAGTTACCACGTAGAACTTTGTACGTACGTACATCACTTCAAGTTGCGATACCACGTAAGCAGTGACAGTGATTGAAAACAAATTAACTAATGACTAGAGACCTTTTCTTTTATTTGATCGTGAAGATGGATTATTTGCTTATTTACACAACAACATATGGTTGAAAGTCAAGAACACGAACGTAGATGGAGTTAGTTAAATTTAATAAATTGTTTAATGAAGATCATTTGTTTATTGAGAAGTATGGAAATCTAACGCCTTCAGGATGATCAAACTTAGCTGGATTATATATCACTTTGACAGAACAGAAGTAGAATGCAAAATGAGCAATAAATGAATAGATATGAAGAAGTTTAAGGGACTATATATAATGTCTGTTTATTTAAACGTACTAGATCGGTTGCACCAGCAAACAAACGTCTGGCCAAATAGCGTCCAGCTTGAATGGCCACAGGAGTTAATTGTGGTTTCCCAGCATTTATATCTCCAATAGCATAAACATTACTGACTGTAGTTTGTTCATCATCTGTGCATACAACTCGACCATTTCTGAATTATCAATTTAATTAGTGAAAAGTGAGAAAAAAAAGAAACAACTACATTAAAATGTTTCTAAAATTAGCAAAGAATTAAGCAAATACTTGACACGTAACACAATAACAAACGATTAACTTATTACTATCGACTTTCATTTAAATGATAATGAGAAAACTTAACTATCATCGTATTGAAATCGGTAATAATGACATAGAATCGCATGGAAATGTAAACAGTCTCATGTTATTATCATTACGAACAGCAAAAAGCAGGGAAGGAAAACAAACAAGGATAAAAGCTGAACAAATAGGTGAATACACAAACATTTTAATTGCATATCTATTGAAACTGATTTATTGATTTCACGTATAAAATCATGTGACTTGTGAATCAGTTATCTTTTTTCAACGGTAACAATTTAATTACCAAAGTATTTAGAAATTAGATTCACATGATAAGTCATCAGTAAATCTATTATGGAGTTTATTTTGTAAGCTTACTATTTTTGTTAAGGACGAATTTGTTTTAAAGTGAAAAAGGTTCTATTATTCAAAATCAAACTAACTAATAAACAATATAATTAGTAAGTAGCATTCTTTTTGCTTATTGGGAGTTCAGTCAAAGATTAAGCTGAATATTGATCGAGTTTTCATATAAGGTTTGCGTTGAAATAGATACCCTAAATCTTTATTTAGACATCCGTGAGTGTAGTGAAACAAATCGACAATGAGGTGTATTTCTATTATGATACCAAAATATGTTAGTTATGTATGGTGAATCGTATGAAGTTGTAGAGTTTCAAAAGTTGAATTTTGACTTAGTAATCAAACAGAGTCATACTTGTAACGACGCGGCTATAAATGTGCACATCTAAAAATTGGCAAATCAGAATGAATTAACAATGTAGTTTCTCACTATCTTCTAGTACCACTGCTGATGTGTTCAAAAATTCGTATTTGAAACAAAAACTTAAAACAGTGATTGCAACTTACTTGTCTAGTTTAATGCCTACAGTTTGACAAATAACCTTCCATAATTGTGGTTCACGACCAACAGCAAAAATCACCTGCAAGAAAAATATGCTTCTTTTAGGTTACTAATTATGACATCAACAACAACGAACTTATGATAGATATCTATAAGCTGTCTACAATTCACTATAATACTTCGACATCTAACAAACTGATTAGTTACGAACTGGATTATACAAGTGGTGTATTTCAGTTAAGTGATGCATTGTAAATCAAACTATTCACTCGTGTGAACATATTGTTAAAGCATAACACTGATTGGTTGGCTGCATGGAATTACTATTCATATCAATCATATAGTAACCTCAACTATCCAGTATTAATACGAATTCTCATGTTATTTATCATTTATGTTAGTCATTTTTAAGTAATACACTAACAACGAAACGGACATAAATTAAAATACTTGAAAGCCTGACGATTCAATCTTTTGGTTAGGAATTTGATTTTTAGTACAGTAAAATGCAGGCATCAAGAAAATAATTTATAATTCTTGCTTTTCCGAATTGAACTTGTTAGTGTGGGTATTTATTCAAATGAGTAGCGGAGATCAGGTTTAACAATAGAATGTATACTGATCACCAAAAAGAGATATTAAAGTGAAATTTAGAAGAAAAGTACACCAATTCAAGTTGTTACAATTTGAACTAGTAGAGAAAGAAAAACAAATATTGAAGGTAACGAAGATAATACAGGTCACTAAGAAAATTGTATTATAGAGACGAAAGATTTTCTAGCTTCTGTTGATCATAACGTAAGCAAGATGTCAATTGTTGGGAATGTTAGATCACCAGAACTCGCTTGATAAATGCCTGGTTTTGGATTTCACGTTTGCGAGCATGGGCTAACCAGCTGACCTTGAGATTTCATTTCCCACCAGGGAAATCCATGGCTGTGATTGGCTGCTGCGTGTTTTAGTGCGCTACTTTCGTAACTGTCCCAAGGACGTCTCTATGATGCATAAATAAACGAGATTTGTGTACTTGATGGTATTGTGATTACCAAGTCTTCTGTTTTGCAGTTTGGGATTCAAGGTAGCCTACCTGGACACTGGTAATTGTCTCGTTCGCGTTTATCGACTAAGGTGAACTCGTAATAGCTTTAAGCGTATCAAGTGACGAACATAACATCAATCTTTTAGCAAACTAAACACATAGTACTGAATTATATGACTATGAACAATGCAGGATGAGGCGTCTGGAGGTAGTTGATCACCAGTTGTGCACTAATGTTTCTTGCTACAGTGTTGCTAATAAATGAACATTTATGTGACTATGTGTAGAGTTGAGGAGGATAAATCAATCGAAAATTTTACGAATCAGAATAGAATAATATGACTGAGAAAACTAATATGGAAGTAATAAAATGATGTTATCAATCTATGCATTCATTTGTAGAATTCAATTAGGAACTGAATGTTTACAGGTTCAAAAGTATAAAAATACTGGACAGTCGAAACAACGACATATTTTATCTTATTGTAACAGTTATATTCAATTTATGAGTAAAAGCACTTAAGACTTTGATGTAATCAGTCAAACACAAAGTTTTGATGGAATGGTCGTCTAGTTCAAACCTCATTTCGCTTTAATTTAAGAAACCAGATAGCTCACTAGCCCTTACACTTATCGTGAAGAGCGTACCGAAGTATTTGGTAATTGAGTAACCCGTTTATTGAATTAGTATAGCATATACCATACACTGAAAAGAGAGACTGATATCGTGAAAGTGAAAATGTTGGGAATTGTTTACAATCAGGTTGAACAACCATTATTTGACTGAATGATGATGAGCTTTAAGAAGTAAACTAAAACTACTAAACTACCGGTAATTCGATTCAATAAAATCTCATACTTGGATGCTTAAGAGCTAATTTTAATAGTTCAAATTAGATAAAATGATAGACAGAAAACTGAGAGACATTTGGAGTTGAGAATCCATCCAGTGATTCCTAATGAATCATACTCTACGTAGTTTCTAATCATATCGGTTTCATCTTACATCCTTGAGCATAAAAATTAAAAAAACGGCTGTTACTACATGATTTAATGGGAATGGAAAGGAACCTAACAAATGAGGAAATTTGCTCACTTGAGCAGTTATCAACTAGTAAAACCATTATCAACCAATTAGTATTGTAATCGTTTTGTCAATAAATTGTAACATACAAAATATCCGTATGTCAAATATTAGGGATGGTCTTTTTAAACTAAATAATAACACTAACGCAAAACGTTTGGAATAAAAAATGGATCAAATATGAAAACATACTGTTTCAAATTCTTCTTCAAACTTTTTACCATCGGTATAATGACCTTTAACAAGTAGAAGTCCGGGTTTATTATTTTCAGTATCTACTGGTTTCAATTGTTGAATCTAAAAATAGAAAGAAAAAAATCAATTATTAATTGAGGTAAGTTCTTTTGAAGTATTAGCGGTAAAATTTTATTAGGCGATTAGTTAAAAATTCAGAGCTTAATTGGCATTATTGATACTCGAATATTCATATTTTTCAAGCACTATAAAAGTCAAGATTGCCACGCAAGAAACTAAATGAATATAATTAGAGAAATCGGGAAGTATTTTAGATAGAAGCAGTTAAGAAAAATAACTTATAATAACTTCAATATCAATTTCAGTTTATACGAAATAAGTAAAGCTACATTTATGAAAACATGAAATTCCCGTTTATATATATATATATATATATATATATATTCGCTAAAAAGTTTTGTTAAACACAACTTTAATTTGCCAAAAACAGTTGGTGATTTAGAGAACACGAGCGATAAACAAGTCTAGGGACGAAGTTCACTTGACTAACTTAATTAGAGCAATACTATAATTAGTAATCTCCAGGCCAGCTTAACGTTGATATTATGTAGGAATAATCCACGATAACTGTATTCTATATTTTAGGAGGTCAACATCTTAACATTATGTCCTGACTGAATGTCTATGTATCCTTTAGTTGAGTCATAAAAGTGTAAGGATTCGGAATAATTGTAAGATTAAGATAAAATAATCAGCTCTTATTTATAAACGAAAGTTTCAGATTATATGGAAAGAATTATTATTGTTAATACCAGTATCTTATCGAACTGTAACAGTGAGTATTTTAAATATTTTTTATTAAACTATCAACATTTCCTTATTTTGATTTGAAGGTATTTAAATGCATTACTAACCTCATCTGGTATACACGACTTAGCAAACTTGACTCCATGTTTCTCCATATAGTCACCAACCATTTCGGCTATTTGTTGATCGAAACCACGAAGTAAAATGGAACGAACCATAACTTTCACATCACCACCTAAACTAGCAAGAAACCCAGCACATTCCAGTGCAACGTAACTTGCTCCAACGACCAGTGTTTTGCCAGGGAAATATGGCAAAGAAAATAAATCATCACTGAAAAAGTTGAAAGAATTATAAACGTAAATAACATGTTTCCTAATTTTACTTAACAAGATGAGGTATTGAAGATGAAATTCGAGAAACTATAAACCGACGACATATTTTAAAATAGAAAAAACGTCACAAGGAATTCAGAAGCCTGGAATTTGAAATTATACACGGAATCTATGCACCTGCACGAGTGCTGACGATTTTCAGCCTTCTCATTCTAAGTCTCTAACCCCCAGTTACGATTAACACCAACCAGGTAATTTGCACCTATTTACATGGTTCAGTGCAATTGTCAATAACTCCATCCACTGGTAACACACTTGGTTTGACCACTCATAACTATCATCAAGCCCACTCCGACGCCAGACAATATCACCCATTCAGGTGGGCGGCTATTGAACCAACGTAATACATGTCTCAACCACTTCGCTTCATAGAAATTTACTGCCTTATCAATACATTTGCCATCCTTACCTAGTACAATACCCTTTCCCTAACAAACGTATAACTATCTCCTTGGTATGACAATTCATCAGTACTGCATTCACTACACCTGTGATCGAATACTAGTGACCTTCGAATGTCTTGCCGAAGTGTGAATATTTGGTTTGTACATTCACGTCCAGGTATGACACAAACCTCATTTTCTCAAGTCTGCTCTTCACGAGTTCTAGTTAGGCGTTGAAGTATGATTGAAACTAACATCTTAGACACTATATTGGTTAAACTGATTCCTCCATGATTGTCATACGAGTATTTTCGTACTTTTCCATGGACTGGAACGATCGGTGGTTGTGACCAGTCGGATAGGATTATTTCCAGTTCCCAGATTCTAGCTAAGATCTCAGTCAATTTAAGTGCTATAATTGGACCTCAATCCTTAAAAATCTCAATGGTTAATCCATCAGGATCTGCAGCTCTCATTCGCTTGAAATTGGATTCAGTTCAGCATACAGTCAGAGGATTCACATCAACTTGCCATTCAGATCGACTGGGAATCGTGAGTAATCGAAATGTGGCTGAAGACCAGTTGAACTGATGCCTTATGTGTTCTGCTCATCAATCCAATCTTCTGGATAGAGTGAATAATCGTTCCGTACTTTTCGAGAGTTTCACCGACAGTCTACTTTTAGCTATAGCTGCCGCATTTCCAATCTCTCTTGCTTTCGTCACCCACCACCGTCTACGGTCATTGCGTGGGCTTCTTATTAGCCAGTGTTTAAGCTGGCTCTGCTCCTTATCATATTCAAAGTCAGACGGGATGAGTTTCCGAGCATCTATCACTTGAGTAGGTGCTACCGATTTTCCTTAACTTTTAGGTGAGTTGCTGGCAGGTATTATTGTTGTTTTCACAAGTTTCTGGATATTATTTCAAGCTGCTCAGGGCGGGCATCCGTTACATGGATGCCTGTTTTTCTGGTTGCTCTAGAAATATACTGTCGGCTTTTGTTTATCGTTAGGTTGGCATGTTGATTTTGCATCTAGTAAGTCGTAGACAAATATGTGATCGTACCAGAGCATGATGAGTATACCCAGACAACTTTCAGTTTCGCCTAACCAACATAGTTGAGCATTAGTTACGAGCCAGATTTTTTCGCTTTTTGAAGAAGCTCAGGAAGCTTCCCGTAAAATCGATCTTTTATCTCCCTTACCTAAAAGCATTTAGTTTAGACTTAATAAACACGTGATGATATTAAATGAACCTAGATGCATTGTAACATATTCAGATATTTTTGTGTGTGGACATGTTGGTGAATGAATCAATAAATATAACAAGTAAAACGACTTCAGAAAATGCAACAAACCTTGTAATCCCATATTCGATTGCTCCAGGTATTTCTGGATATTTTGGGCGCTCACCAGTAGCTAAGATAATTTTATTCCCAGTTATTACAGAGACTTTATTATTCTTTTCTGTTATCTGTATAGGGTGAAGATTTTAACAAAAGAATATGTAGTTTTCATAACACGGTAACAGACAATTAGTACCTAAAATAAGATGAGCTTTCATACGCATTGGATATTTTAATGTAGCAGAAATCCCATTTGGTTTCAACTTATGAAAAAGTAGTGTTTTAAAAAATTAGGTCAATAAACAGGATCAGAAAACCAAAAAGTATGACACGGTTCAGTTATCGAATCATGTAGAGATTAATCTAATCGAAAAGATGTACATTAAGAAAAAGACACTAACAAAAACATCAACTGAAATAACTGGACATATCACAAACTGATCAGATATATTTATTCATAATTAGAGTATAATACAAGTTTATATGAACAATGTAGGTATGCCTTCATAGTTTAGAGATTTATTTGTTTGCTCTTAATTTAATAAACTGAAGGTTTACCCAATAAACTGACGATATTTAGTTGTTGTCAGATTATGTAAAGATAGAGATGAACAGCAAATTCACTTCCAGAAACAAAAGTAATCATAATTATTTACTAGATGTAACTTGCACTTAAACCTTAAATATGAAATATATGAAGATAATGTTCCACATAATTATCATGAGATTTGAAAACCATGTAGAATAGATAATGAAAAAACAATTAAAAGATATTGAAAACAAGGGATACAGCTAAACTTAAAGAAATATTTTCAAATGTTCATCTGAACAAAACATACCTGGACCTCATGAGGGCTTATTAGCATCCCTTTGGCATTTAGATACGTGACTTGATTATCTCTTAGTGCAACTTTATAGCCCCAGTTCAAAGAACCGATATGACTTTGAACACCATCAACCATAGTTGACCAATCATGGGAAACTGAAATTAGGTTAATAAGAATGGAAACACGACAATTTTTAATTTTCTAAAATGATACTTCATAAGCTGTATATGAATTTAAAGCATGATTTACAGAAAATTTTCAGGAAAAAGGGTCATAAAGCACTAGTTCATCCATATTCGTGTAATTATATGATACATGACGACAAAAGATACATCATATCCATATCTCTACGGCAGTTTCAGGCAAGTTACAAGTACATACCAACAACAGATCAATATCAATGATTTTAAAGTGTAAATTAATAAATCAGTTATCAATGTGCTAAGGTTTGTTGGGGCACTATCGCTACAAGGAAAAATACCTGCCATTAAAAAGCGGTAAACTAAGTTCGGTCTACAGATTCTGTTTATTAAAACTTTTGAACTCTTGAAAGTGGTTGCTGGGGCTCGGTAAAATGATAATGCCTCCAAGATATCAAAGGTAGCTAATATGCATCACGAGTGATTTTTAATTAAATAACAAGTCCCAAAAGAAGTATACCAACGCTTGAGTACTTGCAGTTAGTGGGGACCGTCAAAAAGAATATGAATACATTTGAAAACGAATAAGTACATGATAGTATAAACTACACAAGGATAAGGTTTCAGTTAACTTATTCTTCATTTATAACACGCCTATATCAATTATTTACTGGAGTGTATATTGGCCGGTAAGTTATAGATAGTTAATATCATTATATGTTTAGGCCAATGATAAATCAAATATCTTGATGTAATCATTAATATGCTGCAATTTAAACTATATAATTGAAAAATTAAAGAAATGAAAACAATTCGACAGAAACAAGGGTCAATTACAGTAATCAGAGTTGAGGTTTATTGATTTATTTGAATGATAAATACGGGACAAGAACTTGATAACTGATGGAACATACTGTTCAATCAGTATGTTGATGAAATACGTTACACAATGGATTTATTAGCCACTAGATGACGCTTCTGAAATTTTTTGATCTACTTTTAAAAATGTGAATAAACATTGAAGTTACCGCATAGATACATCACTGAACCAAAAAATGATTTAAAAATAGGTTACTTTAGTGGGGATCTTATAAATACGAATTGAGAAGAGGGATGATGCTAAAAACCAACTACGATGAGTCTGAAGAAAAACTTACGATCATTTTGTCTAGAAACATGTGGGGCCATTATGTTTAATTTCACATGACATATGAAGCTGACTATTACGGTACGAATGTTAAAATACAGCACTACTTTCTGATATGTGGTAGACCAAGTTTGCAATTAACTACGATGAGGGCATGTTCAGATAAATTAATTACTAAAGACAGAAGTAGTGTATTTCGTATTAAAAAGAGAGTTGGACAAAAGGAAGGAAAACAACTAATTAAAAAGACATTAACTACTTTTTGATTTATCCAAACTCCATCCGAAATGCTGTGCATCTTCCAAAGCATGACCTGTAAATCATAAAAACATTTTGTCATTAGACCACGGAAATATATGAAATTTTTATTCCAGATCCATGTTATCGTAATGTAAATGAAGTTAGAAAATCGCGACCACTTCACAAAACTATTTCAATCATATAGAAACCACATGGTGACGTTCCAACTTTAGTTGTCCTATTTACGAAAGGATAATGACTAGATATCGACATGATTTATTGATAAACGTACTTAAGAGTCCAGCTTGGTGCATCAGTTTCTTCGGGATACATCCAACGTTTACACACGTCCCACCTAATCCCCAGGTGGTACCCAATGGAGTCGGTTCTACATAGTCTAAAACAGCTGTTTTTGCACCGTATTTGGCGGCCTCCTAAAGAAAGAAAAATAGAAAATACCATTTACCTGAAAATTTTAAAAAAGGAACAGAAATTTTGTTAGCTTGTCTTGATACTGAAGTCCTGAGAGTAAAGTGACTCAATGTAAGTCAAATAATGATTTATGTTCTCCATATAGTCGGCAGTTACGATCAGTGGTTGGAGACATTAGATGACGTTGCTGAGTATCCGTCAAAATAGAACAGATGAATTCACTGTTTTTCTTCAGGTTTTAAAATTATTTTACTTATGACTTATTTTACCAATTAATTCTTTCTTCTCACATAATAATCTCTACGCTTAACTATTTCATAATTGCTGATACTTTTACTACTTCGGTATTTATTCTATCAATTCCAACTCTACGTTGATATGATGGAGTAATCTGGATTGATGTACCTATCTGATACGTTTTTGATGACTAACTAATAATTAACGGTCGAACTTCTTCAGTCTTATTGACGCATTTATTGGGATATTAATATATTCACAACCACACAATCGAAACTACGGTAGGAGTAAACACGATTTAAAAAGGTTATGGTGTCAAATTTTCTTTCGTTGATGAGTGGATGCCTTAGGGATACATATTCGGTTAGTTCTGAAGTAATTGTGCTCAGGTTTTAATAATTATCCAAAATATAAAATATTACAGTTCACAAATTAGAGGAAAGATTAATCGGAAAGTGAACACAAACCATGAGTTGAGATAAACTGTTGAGAACAACTTCCCATTATTAAACTGCTTGTCTTCGAACGATAATTACTACTCTTTTGGAGAGGTTCCTGAAAGCCTGTGAATAATTGCACCATCTAGTGTTTATTGTAAGTTGTTTTGTCTGTCTCAAATCTACAGGTGTTTCCTGTCCTTATACGACAGAGTAGGAATAAACAGGTAAGACTTCGATTGCTATACGCTGACCATTCAAAATGACCACTGTAGTCGATATTCACACTAGAAACGAATGACTTTAGAAAAGTAGTTTGGGTACTACACATTACACGTCGAAAAGTAATATCTGTGACAAAAACGAACGTTATGTGGTTGGGGCAGTCCTTATTATTAAACTAATCAAAGCATTTATGCCAAACGCTTTTCGAATATGATACGTAAAAATATATACTGAACTGGACTTTATTTCTACAAAAATTGCCGCAGTTTGTAAGAGATATGGATTCATCAAAACAAGATTTTATAAATTAATCTATGAACCTGGCAAAAGATTAAAGTGGAAATTAACATAAGTCAATAAACTTGTGTAAGACGGGTAGACACGAATCAACAATCGTAAACCGAATGAACAATTAAAAAAGTTCAAGATTTAAAGGGAGTCAATCAATGACAGTAATAATACGATATGATTGGCTACTGTGTAGTTAAAAAAGGATCAGTTAAATCGAAGCAAATTTGTAGAGAAAAGAATGACAGCTGATCCTCTATCTGTATTTCTCGAAATGACAATTGCTCCTGACTTATTGAATGGATAGGTCTTGGGACATGATTTGTCACAGAAGTTTCCCGAAAAAATACATCACATTACAGAAGAAGTACTATAAACAAGCACTAGTAATCGGGTTGGTTCGCGATAAGTTACAGTCCAAATTGGATATATCTGTTATTGTAGATTACGACTGTTCCATTTCTCACTTTATTTCGAACTTTCAGTTGTAACGGTTTACGTGTATATACGATTGACATGGTTAGTTTTTCCGATCGTAAAGGATATGTAAATGGCGACGCTGTCTGATGGAGAAACGGTCTTTCGTAAAATTGTGTGGTGGAAATAGAATACATTCGCTGGTATTTTAAATTCGGTGTTATTTCAAAACTTCATATTTTCACAATAGTCAGTCAGTCAGATACAACGTAGAACTTCGTACGTAAGTACATCAGTTCATGTCGCCATACCACATCAGCACAGAGATGTAATTGTCAATTCAAATCCAATAGTAGAAGAGGTAGTAAGGGTATTAGAAGTAATCGGAGAGGTTAGGATTAGAAGATATTATTCAAGAAGTATGATTCAGTGAGAAAAGTTTAGAAAGTCAAAAGTAGAGGGGTTGAAGAATTCAGAAGATTAGGATTTGAGAGAATACAGAATAAATGCACCGGCGCCATTGCGAACGATTTTGAGCCATGTCATTCAAGGTCTCTAACCACCGATTATTATCATCTCGCGGACCCCAACCAGGTAGTCGACAATTACCGACATGGCTAAGTCCACGCGTCAATGATTTCATGGATTTCTGCCATGTTTTGGTTTGGCCGCCCCTAACTTTCTTCCAACCTACTCCTACACTACAAAACAAAGCTCTTCGAGGCAGTCGGTGGTTAGGCATATTTTCACACTAGTTTTTGAACGTAGCACAAAACCATACTCTTGGGCACTGTCCTAAAACCGTTCATAAATTTAGCAGTCCGAAAGTCATGAAAACACCGTAAGAGCATTTTACAAGCCATTTATATATCACACTCATATGGTTTAAAGTGAGGAAAACTTGTACGACAGAGTAGATGAAACCTATTTAAGTCAACTCCCAGTGCCTGTTTTTCGGATCAAAGAAACCCGAACGTTAGATGTTTAAGTAGCTCACAGGAATTCTTACTTACTTGCTAAGTCAAGCTACGCTTATTCGATAAATTTAATCTGAAGATATTGTAGCTATTGAATGAGTATCTTTTAAATACGTTTAGTATGATAAGAATATATTCAAATAAAGACTTGGGTTTTATCGTAACATGTCACGAAAGAATAAATACCTTTCCAGCAGCAAGTCCACCAGATCCTCCGCCGATAACAATTAAATCATAGTCATACTTGTTCTCATTGACAATTGCCATCAGTTCATTATTACTGTGGTATTTCAATACTTTTTGAGAATCACCTTGAACGACAATTTATCAAGAAGCTTCACATTACTTACCGATGAATTTGCCTCTGACAAACATTTGAGGGACAGTTTCAATTTTAGAGAAACTGGCTAAAGACTTTTGAATAGCTGAACCATTGGCTAAAAGCAAATGAAGGAAATTTTCAACATACGTAACTGATCTAGTTCAATCGTCGCATGCCTAATCTTTGCCTCAGTTAAAACATCCTTTACCTACAAACTACATGAAAAAGTATCAATCACCAACCTTCTTGCAAAAAGGACAAGTAGTCTTGCTGAACAATATAACAGCTGCTGATTCGATTGTTTTTTGCAACCACTGGGATGTCCCGTCGATCGGAGGCATAGTGTATTGCTGAAACGGTGAAAAATCCAAATGTTAGCAAAAACGGTATGACCGGAAAAAGCTAACCAAGTAAAAATCCGAGGGTACGTTACGGTCTAGGCATGCAATTAAAGCAAAACGGTTTCTTTCAAATGTGTGCAACTTTTTGTGCTGTAAGACAATGTCATATAACAACAACTACTAGCACATTTGAGTGGCAATTTTAAAAACTTATTACAAATAATCACTACTCAATAATAAACTAAATCTAAACGTCTGTGGGTGATAAGAGCTTAAAAACAATGAACTGTAAGAAAACTTGGTGACAATTAGTGCTGAAAAACTATCAGTGATACGTTTATACAAATTATCAGCTCCAAGTAAATCTCATACCATATTACTAACCAAAATATCATAAACCATTGCTTCAATGTATGTATGTTTCTCAGTCCCGGAAGTGGGATAAATCAGGTTTCTAAATGATCGAGTAACTATATACGTGTGGAACATGGAGAGAACAGATAAACAGCAAACTACTTTTGCAAAGTCGCAGGCATGTGGTGTACGGAGAGTTGTGACAAAGGACACAGAAATCACTTGTGAGTTAGACTATGAGTTACAAGTTTATGGTTCAAACTGTCTTTTCAAGAAGCCCTATAGAGGGAACATACGTTTATGTTTAACGCAGCTTTTAGTGTTTTATAGAACTAATATAAAGTGAACAATTCGGCAATAACAACAAAGCAGTATATTACTGTGGAACCTTTGTAACGTTTAATGTTTAAGAAAAAGTAAATATAGCCACCTACGCTCCTGATTTACTTGCTTCGTGCATGCAAAAAGAAATTTTACCGATTCATTTTTACGATTCCATGTGCATAACAAAGGAAGACACACTTTGTGATATCGACTTGCATTAATGCAGAGATTTCTAAACCAAGACATCCGACTGTACTTCTTTCAAGAATGAGAATGGATCTGATACAATGAAACAAAATGCAGCACAAAAGAATAACAATCCTATAAATATGGACATCAGTAACACAAGACCATACCATAAACACGCTCCAACCACGAAATTTCCAGCAGACGGATGTATTTATACTCTGCGCTGGTGAGTAGGTGTGTTTACAATGTCCAATATCTTTGGACGACCTCCAATATCCAATATCTTTTTCACGAGCTAGTGTAAACCATTTTGATTTCTTCGCGCTCGATTCTTGTTCTTTCGGTACGGTTTCAGGTGTTCGGTAATGTCCAATGGATGGAGGTCTAGCCACTCGACTGTCTAATTCTAGTCAGTTGGCAGTTGGTTGTGAGTTTGTATGTCTCGGGATTTGAATGAAACGTTTGTTTCAGGGCAGTAGGGTTTCCGGATACTAGCAGCCGTCACATTACCAAGCCGGAGATCAGTTAGTTGCAATGTGGAGAGTAATAAGGGTAATAAGGATAAAATTGTAATGATAATATGAATAAAATTTCAGAAATGAGTAATATATAGATGAATTTAGTTTATCATTTGGTAGTGAAGATTGTGAGAGAGGACCGAAGTGTAAGAAAAATTGTGCACAAATCTGACTATTTGCTCTTTGATGTGCAATCTTTCGAGGATTGCCTCGAGGGGAGTGGTGGTGATGGATCGGTAAGATGCTCACATTGGGATGGTTGGGCGTGTTTAATATGGTGTACGCCATAATCAGGTCACCTCTGATTCTCCTGTAGCTCAGTGGGAATAATCCCAAGAGCTGGAGTCTGTCGTCGTAGGATTTATTTTTCAACCCTATCACCCATTTGGTTGCTCGTCTCTGCGCTCGATCCAAGAGATTAATGTCTCTTTTAAGCAGAGGGGGTGCGATGACGTTGTGAACCTCCAAGTGTGGGCGCGCGTACGTCTTAAACAGGGTTAAAAATAATTTCGGGGTGATAACACCAAGCTGTCTTCGCATAAAGTGAAGAGTCGCATTTGCCTTGGCTGCATCCCCTACATAGTTCGGACTCGTGTGGAGGCTTTCTGTGGTTATTAAACCAAGATCGCGCTCTGAGGAGACATTAGGGAGCGGACTTCCATTGAGAGTGTAGGTCGTTAGCGCCATATGAGGCAGGAAATGCATGACGTGGCACTTCTGTTGGTTGAGTTTTAAACCGTTTTTCAGTGCCTATTTCTCAATAGATGTAAGGTCCTTTTGAAGCTCAGTCGAATCCTCTTCGTTTCTAATGGACTCCAGATCTTCGCATCGTCTGCGTAGATCAATGCCGGTGAGCCAAATAAGCCTAACAGGTCGTTAATAAATATCAGGAAGAGGAGTGGGCCTAGGATGGTCCCCTGTGAAACTCCTGAAGTGGATACTCTCCAATTCGCGTGCACCCTGTTTACCTTGGTGCGAAACTTTCTATTCTCAAGGTAGTTTCTGAGCCAAGATACGAGTGGGTCAGTGAAGCCCATTTCCACAACCTTTTCGATTAGGCGTGCGTGGAGCACTGTGTCAAAGGCTTTTGCGAAGTCGAGAAATACTACGCGTACTGGTATTTTACGGTCCAAGCAGGATGTCCAACTGTCCCATGCGATGAAAAGATTTGATGCACACGACCTGCCTTTCCGAAACCCGTTTTGAGCTTCATGTAGTATTTTATTCTTATCCATGTACTCCCTCATTTGTTCGTCCACTAGTCCTTCCATAACCTTTGACAATATAGGTAGTAGTGCGACTGGTCTGTAACAGGCTGGGTCCTTTCTATCTCCTCCTTTGAAGATTGGAGAGAGAGTAGCTTGTTTCCATTCCGCTGGGAATTGGTGTGACTCCAGTGAATGCCTGAAGAGGTTGCATAACGGTGAACAGAGGGCTTCAGCGCACTGTTGCAAGACTATAGGGCGGATGTTGTCACAACCTGGTGACTTACCTGGGCGTAAGGATTTTAGTTTCCTTAATACTAGGTCAGGAGTGATACGGATGTTCCCTAAGCCGTCAGCTGGCATTGGGTTGGCGTAATACTCTGAACATGTAGGCGCCTGCTTTAACTGATCAGAAAAATGGGTGTTGAAGATGTCGGCCATCTCTAGGTTAGTGAGGTCTTCTCCGTTAGGCCCTTTTAGGGAACACAACCCTTGATTAGTAGGTTTTCTTTTGGACATGAACGTAGACAGATGTTTTGGGTTTGCCTCTATTATAATGATAATAATAATAATTTATTCTCAAATAACTACGTTACAAGATTCACGCCAGTTTACAGGCTTGATCAAATTGACACAAATGCTTTCACAATTACTGTAAAGTTATAGCAGTTAAATTAAGTATAAGAGTCAGTTTCTGATTGCATATTTACACCATGTCACTGACAGAAATAGTATTATACAGCCACATTTTTACTAGTAGAGTACAAATAAGGAAGGAAGATGCACAATAGGTTCTTTTGGCGATTTGTCGAGATCAATAGTGAATTTGTTGGGAAAAGTCATATGGAACGCGCTTGATACGAGCTGTTATCCAGACAGTCATGTACCTAGGGTGCATGTTCCATAGAGTCGCCAAGGATTTCCCACCGTGAATGGGGTTCTGAAAAGGAGAAGAGAGAGAGAAAAAGGCAGCAGTGTGGCGGCTAGCTTCGTCTGGAATTGTCTCCTATCGCTTCGAACTTTGGTATTGCATCTGTTTCTCAATGCCAAGTAAGGGTTAGTATAAAACAATTTATTTCTTGTTCTTTCAGTACGGTTTCAAGCATTTACTAACGTACAATAGATGGTAGTCTAGCCACTCGACTGCACTAATTCTACTCAGTTGACAGTTACTTATAAATTTGCATGTCCCGTGATCTGAGTCAGTGAGCTTGTTTCAGGGCAGTAGTGTTTCTGGATGATAGCAGGCCGGGAATCAGTTAGTTGCAATTTTGAGAATAAGAAGACTAAAATTTAGGTGCCAATGAGAAGACGGTTTCAAAAGTCAAGCAAATTAATTAATTTTTAGTATGGTGAAGATTATGTGAGAGGACCTAAGTGTAAGCAAGGGAGAGGAAACAATGACAATCTGCATGACAGAATAAGTCAGCGATCAGAAGAAATGACAGTAATAAAAACTAGCAAGTTTCAAGACATTCATCAGACAAGCTTGTCCAGCAGTTCTTGCTACTGACTAACGGTGTAACGTATTTGTATGTTACTAATGCAGTCAACCTAAATCCATGACTGTCGTCCGATAAAGTACACGTCAGTTCATTCATCAACTCCATTACACTGTACATGTGAAGAACAAGCCAAATAGACAATACTTCTTAGTTTTTACAAATATTAGATTCACAAAAATGTAACTCCGTAGAACCACAGTATTATCATTGGAATCTAACCAAATCATTCGGTAGGCATTTCGCTGTTTAAGAGTGAATAGGATTGTAGATAAATTTTGTCAATTTTTTTATTTTCTCTAATGCTATCCAATCTGTGTGAACAATATACTGTTTGAAGAATTTCGTTTAGTTTAACTTTTAGTTCTCTAGTACGCAATTCACCTGTTATACTGACTAGCGTCTATGTATTGCGTACGTTCGCACACACATCTTGCTCTTATGTTTCGAGCTGCTGTTTAATGACTGTTTACTAAAACGTGTTTTCCTAGTGTTCCTCAGCTATTGTTATTATTATCTATATCGGGAATTCCTTAACTCCGCCAGTAGAACCTTCGGGGCTGCTGCCGGTCCCTAGCCCGGATAAAGGATGAGGGTTGGACATGGGGTTGGCGACCCCATCCCATTATAAAAACTAACTTGCCAAAACAACGCTAACCAGAAAAAATAATTCAAACAATGTTAACTCTGCCCTGGGAGTTGGAAAAACATTTATGATGACACGTGATGAAAGCCGAGTTCCCTCGGAAGTCACGAGGCCGAAGCCTCTTCTGACAACCAGAGCAACCACTTTTTTAGGTACATGGAACGTTCGTACATTGTGGGAGACTGGAAGACTATTTCAAGTTGCTGCAGAAATGAAAAGATACAACCTCGAGGTGTTCGGCATCAGTGAAATGCATTGGACACAGGCAGGACAACTGAGACTAGCTTCAGGGGAACTGCTGTTATACTATGGTCATGAAGAGGAAAATGCTTCACATACACAAGGAGTTTCACCGATGCTGTCCAAACATGCACAAAAGGCACTAATAGGATGGGAATCTCATGGACCCAGGATCATCAAACCATCCTTCAAAACAAAGAAAGAGGACATTACAATGAACGTCATCCAATGTTACGCACCTACCAATGACTACAATGACGACGATAAAGATCAATTCTACGAAAGGCTGCAGTCAATCGTCGATAAATGTTCACCAAAGGATTTGACGATTCTTATGGGAGACCTGAATGCCAAGGTTGGAATGGACAACACTGGATATGAAGACATCATGGGACGACATGGACTGGGAGAAAGAAACGAAAACGGTGGGAGGTTTGCAAACCTATGTGCCTTCAACAAACTGGTCATCGGTGGCACAATATTCCCGCACAAACGCATTCACAAAGCCACATGGATTTCACCGGACCACACTACTCGAAACCAAATTGACCATATCTGTATCAACAAAAAGTTTAGAAGGACCATGGAGGATGTGAGAACCAAGAGAGGAGCTGACATGGCCTCAGATCACCACTTGCTGGACGCCAAAATGAAACTGAAGCTAAAGAAGCACTGGACAGACAACATCGCAGAAGGTTAATACAGCCTTTCTTCGGGATACCTTAAAACTCAACGAATTTAGGATAGCCTGAACCAATAGTTTCCAGGCCTTTCAGGATCTACTCAATGGAGAGGACGCAACATTGGAGAACAATTGGAAAGGGATTAAGGAGGCAATCACTTCAACATGTCACGAAGTTCTGGGTCACAAGAAGTACCATCACAAGGAATGGATCTCTGTTGATACTCTTGCAAAAGTTGAAGAAAGGAGGAACAAGAAGGCAGCAAATAATGTCAGCCGAACATGAGCAGAGAAAGTTAAGGCACAAGCTGAATACACAGAAGCAAACAGGGAAGTGAAGAAAAGCATCAGAACTGACAAACGAAAATATGTGGAAGATCTAGCAATGACGGTGGAAA